TGGTACAAATGGCTGCAAAACAGGAACAAAATTAATTAAGCCAAAAAACAATATATATAAATATATATAGAACTGTGTAGACCATGGAAGCCTCCCCTTAGTCATAAGATCAAAATCCAAATGCTTGGCAACAGGCTCATAGAGTTCTCTTTCCCAAAACACAATTTGTAATTTATCCCAAACGTATGTGCCCCGTTACCCAAACTAAAATGAATAATTCCATTGTAAATAATAGGATTAGCAAGGAGGGTTTATTTTGTTTGGGTGACAACCTTTTATCGAAGACCATAGCTGTTAGACCATTGCCTAACGGAATCTCCAATAAAATACAGGTAGTCCTCGACTTAAAACTGTTCATTCCGTGACCACTCAAATTTACAACAGCACTGAAAAAAGGGACTTATGGCCATTTTTCACATTTACGACCATTGCAGCCTTCCCATGATCACCTGATCAAAATTCAGCCCTTGGCAACTGACTAATATTTATGACCGTTTCAATGTCCTGGGCAGTGGTGGGATTTAAATAATTTAACAACTGACTAGCTGGGTAGGCGTGGCTCGGTGGTCATGTGATTGGGTGGGTGTGGCCAACTCACCATCACTCACATCGATGGGCTCTTCACCTAAGCTGTTACAATGTAATAAGGATTAACCAGAGAGGCAGTTTCTGTAAGCAGGGCAACAAAGATTAGGCTAGAAACAACACCAGGATGTTTTCTTGCCACATCCACCCAGCAACCAGGCAGAGAACCCCTTGCTAAAATTTTTGAAGCCCACCCCTGGTCATAAGTCTAGAGCAAGGGTGTCAAACTCAAGGCCCGCAGGGTGCTTAGATCTGGCCTGCAGGGCCACTCTGTAAACAGTGAGTGCCTCTGCCAACGAAAATGGGCTCCTGATCTCTGTTTCCAGCTGTGACAGCCTCCTGCAACTCTCTGCCAGTGAAAATGCGGCTCGGGAGTCATTCAAGCTGCCATAGGTGCCCCCAACATGAGTGACATCGAGCTGGCCACGCTCACCCTGGCCACACCACGTCCCCAAGGTCAAACCCAACACTGATGTGACCCTCAATATAATCGAGTTTGACACCTCTGATCTAGAAGTACCAGTGTATGTCCTTCAGGGGAGCCAGGCAGGAGAAGGACCTCTTCTACATATTAGATTGCTGACCATCTGGCAGCAGAACATGCAGATAGTCCTCAACAAGTCTCTTAGCAATTATTCAACGTTAGACTGACACTCCCCCCCCCAAAAGAAATCTGAATCTATTTTGAACTCATGGCTGCATGCACACGTGCACCCCCACGGCCACAGAGTCAAACGTTGGGTGCTTGTCAATCACCTCACTTTGACACCCGTGGGCCCATGTTCATATGATTATGGTTTTTGAAGGTTTTTTTTTGACAATTTCTGGCATTTATTTGCAGTTCCTGACCCCCCAAAAAAGCCTATTGGATAAAATGGATTTTATTAAGAACCGTGATGCTTGCTTAATGATCCTGGCATTCACTGAATGATCACTGCAAAATGTCGTCCCCTCCCCCCCAAAAAAAATTCAGGCCAAGTCACGTGATGCCTCAACTTAAACTGCTGTGACTTATGACATTATTCTGGGCTCAACTGCATTCATAAATCAAGGACTGCCTGTATTCGAAATGCATCTCTTCCTGATTTAAAATAGCAAAGCAACCTCATAGGAAGCCTGGATGAATTCACATAGAACCTAGAGATTCAAGATTGCTATTTTTTTATGGTTGTATGTTGTGTTTCCTCTGCAAACATGGGCAGCTTGTTTTAAACACCAGTTCCTAAACAACCATGGTGGGAGAAGATAAGTCATGCTCCTGTTTGTTGAATGCATTAATATGGACACTGTATGACACAAAATTATGGGGCAGGTAGCTGTGGGTTAGCTTCAATAAGGCTTCCTTGCATCTCCATATTTTAAGACTTCTAGCACATTTCTTCCAATTAGCTAGCATAGACATTTGCCTTAACAGGGAACATGTCTCCATTTAGCTTCTTACTGTTTGCCCTGATTTGATCCCCAAAATTTTAGACTGACATCTGTTTCATCATTTGACTACGTTCCTCTGTATTGGAATCACACCTTGCTGCATGCTGGGTGCTCTATTGCTACATTCTGTTTACAAGCCACATGATTCCACTGTAAATACCATATTTTTCAGAGTATAAGATGCACCAGAGTATAAGATGCACTAAGATTTTGAAGAGGCAAATTAAAAAAAAATTTTTTTGTACTCTGCAGACCTCCCCAGAATGGCCCATTTTTCATGAAAACGGGCCCATTTTTTGTCAAAAACAGGGCAAGCATAGCCTTTAGGAAGCTTGTAGATTGCTCCTGGGGACTGGGGGGGGGAGGGTGGCCCGTTTTTTGCTCATTTTTGCCCTCCCCAGCCCCCAGGCGCATTCTGGAAGCCTCCTAAAAGCTATGCACGGCTATTTTTGCAAAGATGCGTGGTTTCGGGAGGCCAAAAATGCTGTATTCAGTGTATAAGATGCACCCAGATTTTCACCCTCTTTTTTTGAGGGAAAAAGGTGTGTCTTCTATATAATATAATAATATAATATATTATTAATATAATATAGTATTAACTCAACATGGACAGAAAAAAAACTTAGGGTGGCCATCACGTAAGTGTCTAAAATATGAAAGGAAAGGTCTTTGCTGCATCTCATGTTATTTAAAATCCCAAATCTATCTATCTATATATAAGTGAAATACCACTCATGCATCATCACAAAATCTCCAGATGCGTAAAGCCTACATACTTGAAATTTGGCACGTATGTTCCTCTTGGCTTCCAGGTACTCGCTAAGAAAGGATTTTTCAAAATGACATCAGATCATTAGTATTTCTTAGATTATTATTAACACGCTCTGATGCTAAGGAGTTAGACGTTCTACTCCTTCTCCCCACCTGAAAAGGATTCTGTTCCAACTGCCACTTGGGTATGGGCATGGCCACCCCGTGATTCATCTGGCCTGCGGGCTGGGAGTTTAGACATAGAAAAGGATCAATGGGGCCAGCCTGAGGGAGAGAAGGGGGATAGGAGAGGAGAGACTTCTGTGGGGCAAGCCTCAGGGAGAGAGAGGAGAGGCCAATCGTAACTACTCATTAGTTTTCAAGCTATAAGGGTCGATTTATCTAGCTAGTCACCTAATGAAGTTGATTGGCCACTGTTTCTGGATGGACGAAGAGAGTACAAGTGGAAAGCGAATGTTACAGAATTTGTGGCTATAAGATATGGTGGCCACTCTGCCTCTAAAGCCTCAGTGCGTCCAATTGACTGCTTGCTCAAGCGTTCAGCAGTGCATCAAATTAATTGCTTCTGCTTCTGCTCAGGCCAACTTTATCCACGATGACATCGAAAGCGCAATCGGCGATAGCAAAGGAGGGAAAGCAAAGCAGCGACTTGAAACACTCAGGTAAAACCAAAGCCTTGCCTTGCAAATCTTTCCTAGCGTTTTCCGGCAAGGGGTACATTAAGAAAGCTGGTCATGCAGGCAATATATTTTGGGCTGTGGAAAGTGACATAGATTCACTTTGATGAAGTGATTGGGGCTGTGAAGGGAACACGATTCACTCTGATGAAGCAAAGAGATCAGCCCACTTCTCTCCACAAAGGAAATCAAGTGGCCTCGAATTATTTCAGATCCGTGGTGTGGGAGCAGGCAGCTGGCTTCAGCGTTCTTCCCAGTTCATTGGCTGAAGTGCTTCCAAAGCAGCACATAAGCTTTGGGACGGCACGTAGCAATGTGTGCCAACGCCACACAGCTGGGCACACTGAAGCCACTGAGCATTTGCTGAAGCAACTCAGCAGGAGAGAGCCGTTCAGCCAGTGCTGAAGGAGCTTTGAACAGCATTTAGTCCAAAGTTTCATCAAAACCTGGCATCTCTTCAGAGGTTCGTACAATCCCGCTGTATGTTAAACCTCCAATAACAGAAGCTGCAGCTCTTTCATATTTCTTGCTAACCACTTCAATAAAAGAATATATTGTCCTCAGGCATTGCATTACACTTTCCTACCGGTGCCTGGGCTGGTCACAGTACAAACAGAATGCTGAAAACGAACAGATTTCTTTTTGGTCTGATTTGTGATGGTTCTTCTTATATTCTAGCAGATCCAAAAGTAACTAATTAAGAAACACACTTGGGGAGAACCCAGAGGTTTACAAAATTATTCTATGCCTCTCCCTCTCTTTTTCTGCCAAAGTAAAACTAAACCAAAAAAAAAACAAAAAACTATGCAATCCAGTGAAATAAGGTAGTTGTAAAATGCATAGGGGCGTGGTAGCTCAGTGGCTAAGATGCTAAATGTGTCCATCAGAAAGGTCGGTAGTTCGGCGGTTTGAATCCCTAGCACCGCGTAACGGAGTGAGTTCCCATTACTTGTCCCAGGTTCTGTCAACCTAGCAGTTGGAAAACATGTAAAAATGCAAGTAGAAAAATAGGAACCAACTTTGGTGGGAAGGTAATAGCGTTCCGTGCGTCTTCGGCGTTTAATCATGCCGGCCACATGACCACGGAAACGTCTTCGGACAGCGTTGGCTCTTTGCCTTTGAAACAGAGATGAATACTGTCCCCTAGAGTCAGGAACGACTAGTATATACATGCGAGGGGAACGTTTACCTTTTTCTAAAATGCATCGTTTCCAGCTCTACACAGCTTGTGTTATTGCAGTGGTGAAAATGGTTATCTGCATAAATGCCTTGAAACAACAGTTCTTGTCATGCTTAAGAATGCATTCGAACATTTTGGTGCAGTTTCTGCTTGGGTTAGTAAACCAGCACAATTTCAG